TTCTTTTACCATATAAATGTTTCCAATGTTATTAATGAAAATTAGACTGAACTCTTAAAATTTATATTATTTATTTATATTTTTTTTCTCATATAATCGTTTCTAATGCTTCTAACAAAGATTATATTTAATTCTTCGTGTCCCAAAGAATGTACTCCAAATTTATAATTTTCTGCAATGCAAAGAGGAAGGTATCATTATGAATTCATGGCGCATAACAATAAGATTCTGAATTCATATTTCGAAGATGGAATTTTGTCCTCCCTTATTTCAATTTCTATAAAATCGTCTATAAAAATGAAGTATTAAGTGATCCGTTAATATATGCGATATTTCTCGAAATTTAAACAAGAGCTGTTGCACCAGGTAGCTATACTAATTGTTTGCAATAAAGAAATGTTTTCATGTTAATTGTCTATATTTCATAAAACCCGCAGAAAGACCAGCCATTATTAAACATATTACGTTATCAAAATTACAGAAGAATTTCGTCTGTCAATTGACAATGTTTTCACCTCCTTTGTTCCGAAGGTTTCCCTATCAAGCATTAAACCCGATTTCTTTTGAATCGAGCTGAAATAGAAGTCTTTCAAACGACACTAACCAAATACGGTTAAACCAAAAATAGATGTATTCGAACCGGGCCGATTCGTGTACCGCGTTACATCGAAATCATGCCGAAAGCTGCCACTTTTAATTCGAGTCCGTATGTTCAGCCACTGAAGCGGAACAGTACAGCGACATTAAGCTGATTAATCGCCGATGCTTTAAGCATCGTATTTATTTGTTTCTCTTTAATTGATTCCCCCGTTCCAATCATTACATTCCGTGGCCATTCTTCCCGGCGTGTGCCCGATGTGTTTTAAACCGATACGCAGGCAGGAATCAATTAATGGAAACAGATATACAGACAATATGCGCTGTTCCCGTCGCCATTCAGTTTCTGACAGCGCATACGAATGAGTCGATGTAAATTTGCCGACCACTCGTCGAACGCCAAAGTCGCTGGAAATAAAAAGAAATAAAATAAAAGAAAAAACAGGACCGCCGACATACGCGTGCGGCAACAAAGAAAATGGTAGAAAGCCACCCGGTGGCCGATTCGCGGACGTTTTCAAAAGGAAAAATCGTGCATGAGAATTCTCTGCCGGCAAAAGGAGCGGCAACCGTGGAAATTGTTCGAATTTCCCAATATTTCATTAAAATTGTTTGGACAGTCGGCAAGGAAAAATTTCAGTTACGGTTTACCGGGCGGTTGCCTTTATCGATTAACTCTACTCGACCGAACTTTCCGTTTTTGTTTATTCTGTTTATGTTCCATACAACTTCCCCTTTTTCCCCCATTAATTCCGGCCGCCCTCCGTCTCCCGCTTCCTATTTAATTACACACATCAGAAAAAACTTTCCGCGCTGCCGAGACACGCAGCCTTTCGAGAAAACGTTATTTGCATAATTCCATTTCCGAGGGGCTGCCGCTCGGCATATTTCGAACAGTCGTGAACAAAACATTGAAAAGTCCGATCGCGGCAGTGGTACCGAACAATTTTCCCCAAAAAAATGTTTCAGAGCACCGAATTGTTTGAAACGTTTGTTCAAATATCGTACACGGTCGCTTCACAGAGTAATAAAATTACATTTCGATTTTTCGAACATTTCTGCCTGTGGAAATATTTTTTCGCGTGACAGAAATTGGTAATTTAATAATGTTCTTAATGAAATAAAGAAATCGGTGATTTTTTGACTGTAATTCTGTGCCCTTTTAGAGGCTTTGCACGTAATTTCGTGCCCGGTATTATTGTGTCCGTCCATATTTCTGTGCTTGACCAGACTTCTGCGTCTACTTATACTTTTGTGCCCCTTATTTCTAACTTATAGGGATCTTCTGCAATTACTATGCATTTTTTAATAACTTTTCTGATCTGTTTTGCCTTTCTCACAATATTGTTTTGAATGGAAATGAGGTTAGGTTTGGTTACGCGATCTAATACAAGAGGGCACTGAAATACGGGCATGTTCAGAAAATCTAATTCTATTTCTGGACTTTTTATTTTAAAAATATTAAAAAATATACATGATTAATAGTTTTTTTTAATAGTAATTACTGTCCTTCTTTTAATGACGTTTCCGATCCGCTTCTCTTTTCTCATAATATTGTTTTGAATGAAAATGAGGTTAGGTTTGATCACGCGGTTTAATATGCAATGTTTATATGTATATTATTTATTTAGAAGTTGTCAGAAAATTTTTGGCAAGTTTACGTACCTCCAGCAATTCTCCCGGCCGATCTGTTGGGCTGATAGGATCTGCAAACAAAAAACATGGAATTTTTAGTATTTGTTGATTTTTAATTCCGATTGAATAATTTTCTGTTACATTCGCGCAACTTCATTAATATTTGCATGCCACTGTAGCGAGCTCGTGATGAAATTATTGACGGGATTTTATACAGCTTCAAAATGAAATCGTTCGTGTAACTTTATTAGCGATCGAGTGAAATTATTAATGCAATTTTATTAACCCTTTAACACGGTCATATTGATGTTTCAATAAAATTATTAATACGTCTGTGCTAATCCTGTATGGGAATTAGTAATACAACTGTGTTAATTTCCTGATGAAATTATTAATCAACTGTGTCAATCTTTTGATGAAATCATCGATAACAACTGTATCGATCTTTTCATGAAATTATTAATAAAACTTTATCGATCTTCTGATGAAATTATTAATACAACTTTATTGATCTTCTCTAATGAAATTATTAATACAACCGTATTAACCTTTTGACGAATTTATTAATACAAGTCCATTTGCCAT